ATGGCAGCATAAGAGGCAGAGCTAGAGAAGCTGTTTGGAGAAACTGGTGGTTCTCTTGGGCTATTCTGCTGGGTGACCTCATCATGTTGGCTTTTCTGGTGAATTTGATCGTTCTCATTGGAGGAGAAATTTGAACTTCGTTGTCACTGGGAATGGCTATGATTCGCTTTGAAGGAGCTCTGATCCTCACCTTGAGCATTGTTTCCTAGCTCCAGAGGGGAAGATGGTGCCCAGCTCAGTCTCCTGGAGAAGCTTGTCATGTTGGCTTTCCTGATGGGAGCTCAGCTTTTGTCATCCTCAGAGGAGCTCGGGACCTCACTATAGCTAAGGATGGCTGTGGTACTTTTGCGGAGAGCTCTGGTTCTTACTTTGAGTGTTGCTTCCTGGCTCCGGTGCGGATCTCTCAGCCTGCTAACACAGATCCTTCATCCTGCTGGCACAGACTTTCTAGCCTCTACCTCTGACCTTTGGGCTTTTGCAGCACAGATCCGTGAAACAGGCCCACATGAGACATTGTCATAGGGCTCTAGGGCTCCAGTTGGACTCATGGGAGCATTGTTCTGAGTTCCAGGTCTTCAGCTCTACTCAAGCTGAACATTGCTGTGGGATTTAGGCCCTCAATTAGATTCTTTGGTCTTTAGTGTGTGGAGAGAATTCCAGCACTCTTTGTACATGATTCATTATAAAAAATATTGTGTCCTGTATTGTTCCCCTTGCAAAACCCCAAACCATGACAGGATAGTAGGCTTCAGACAAGCCATAATCACAATTTAATTATGAAAAGATTTACCCCCAAAATTATATACAATGGCTTTTAACAATTATTGTACAATCTAGAAATATCCATCATAACTACCCCTAAATAAGAAATAGCTGGGTTTGGATGGCTAATTTTTAATTAAGAGAACTGCTATAACTTTTTAAAGTATCTGTCTGGCTGCTCTTATTACCTCAGCTCCATTCTTTTCCAGCTATCCTGAAGTATTTGTGCTACTTCATAGGCTAGGTGGAGCATGATTCATACATGACCCTCGGGGTTAGACTACCTAGATCAGCACCTGGCTGTGTCTTTACCCAGCTGAATGACCTGGAGAAAGGTACTCAATTTCTTTGTGTCTCTATTTTCTCACCCACTAAGTAGAGGCTATAACAGTGGCTGCTTCCCAGGGTCATTATGAGGGTTACAAGAGCTTAGATGTAGAGCCCTGTGTGACATGTGCGATACAAGCTGTATAGGTTTTTGTTGTTAAATATTCCTTTGTAGATCTGGTCTTCCTTTCCCTATATGCCTTTGCATGTTCTCTTTTTTTCAAGGGGCAGACTCTCCTTTATCCTTCAAGACCTAGCTTAGTAGTATCATCTTTGTATGTGATATTTTCCTATATATCCCTTGTATAAGTCATGTCTTCTCTGTATTTCTGGCCACCTGGCTATGTCTTCTATCATAACCCTCATGACATGGTATTGCATCTGTTGGCTTACTTGTCTACGGGGACAGTAAGCACAGCTTATGTATCATTTTTTTTGGGAATTTTATGAGCATGAGAGAGATACTAGGTAAATATACATCGAATGGGTCAGTGAACCAATTTTCCCATTATTCCTCTCTCTCTTTGTTTTATTCCTTCTTTTCTTTCTTCTTATTATCCTTCTTCCCTCTGTTCCTACTTTCCTCTGTCTTTAATTTCCTAACTTTTACCTTCTCTTCATACTCATATCTAGCACTTGAATTATCTCAGTTATTCCTCATAGGTAAGTATTATGATGATCTCAGTTTTGTAGATGTGAAAGCAAAGGATCAGGATGGTAAAAAATTTTTCCACCCAAAGGAATGGCTTCTCTAAAGGGTTGACCTCCCATCATTGCTGCTGCTTCTCAAAGAATTTTGGCAAATTTTCTTTAGAACTCCCTTCTGGCCAATTTATGAGTCAAATCAGAATATAAATCTTATTTTTGATCATTATGAAAAAGATAATTTCCATTATGATCATCTTGATTCATCGTGTGTTTTCGAATTTGAGTTTCTCAGAAATTTAAGACATCTCCAAGGAGGGCTGGCAGAATAGCTTAGTGGATTAAAGCACCTGCTTAGGCAGATGCAAAGGCTGGGAGTTTGATCCCTGGGCCTGCTGATCTCTGGGCCTGACAATCCTGCCAATCCTGCCATGCCTCCTCTGCCCCCCCAGGGTGCACTAAGACAGCAATTGAGACTGGGTGTGGTGGTGCATACCTGTAATTCCAGCACTTGGGAAGCTGTAAAACAAGAGGATCACTATGAGTCTGATCTACACAGTGAGACCCTGTACACCCTGTCCTAAATACAAACTAAATAAATAAATAAATATTACAAAGAAAAAGACATCTCCAAAGATCAAGATTTTCAGTTGTCAAGAATATTTAACCAGAGGACAGCTGTGAAAGCATTCTCCCAATAAGTTTAGCAATAGCCAAATCCCTGGACTGAAGGCCACTTATGCTTCGGTGGACTTTGTTTTGACTGGTTTAGGGAGAGAGATTAGTGTTTTTGTTTTATTGGTATGTGTGTGTGTGACAGCTTTATTGAGATGTGATTTATGTACCATACAATTCAGCCATGTAAATGTAAAATTCATCAGCTTGGTATATTAACAAAGTTGTGTAACTCATACCTCCATCTGATTTGAGAACACTTTCATCACACTAAAAAATCCAATACAATTTAGTAGTTATGGCCCATTTCCTTCTCTGTTCCTTGCTGGGAGGTACTACTTTATTTCTGTCTATGGATTTGCTTATTCTGGGCATTCCATCAATGAAATTATACAATTGTGGCCTTTTTTTATTGGCTCCTTTTACTCTGGCATAATGTTGTCCAAATTTATCTTTGTAGTGTGTATCATTATTTCATTTCTTTTTATAGGTGAATAATATTCCTTTGAATATTAATTGATTGGTATATGGGTTGTTTCCACTTTTTGGAAAATATGAATAGTGATGATACACATATTTGTGTGAGTCAATTAACAAATGGATAAGTAAAATGTATTATATCCCTCTGATGGATTAAAATTGAAGTACAAAAAACAATGAAATCTTGATACTTGCTATAACATGGATAAACTTTGAAAACACGCTAAGTAAAGGAAACCTCTTTAGTACATGATTTCCTTGATATGAAATGTCTCATGTAGACAAATCTGTACAGACAAAAAGTACATTAATGGCTATCAGGGCCGGAGAATAGAAAGGAATATGGGGGGGATAACTGTTAAAGGGCAAAGAGCTTGTTTCTGAGGTGGTGAAAAGGTATAAATTGTATTATATTGATAGTTGTACAACTTTGTGAGTATAGTAGAAGCCACTGAATTGTACACCTTTTCAGAGTTCAGTAGATGATAGAAATAATTCACGACATCTTTTATGAATGCATACCAGTGGCTTACTCTCCATTCACTACCCTGTGTGGCTCCTGAGTATGAATGACAGTTGTTATTTCCTCTGCTTTGTGAATTTCTCAATTCCTAAGTATGGAGAGGAAATGATACTCATAAAAAATATAATCCAGAGGTCTGTAAACACTGTTGCACACTCAGAAAGATAGGAACACCTGTAGGTTTCAAAAATTGAAAAATTGTTGACTAATGTCTCTGACTTCGACATCGTGTTATCCATGCTTTATAATCTATATTTCCCTGTGATCAGGAGCTCCCTGCCATGCATCCGCATTATTTACTATGTCTAGCATTTTGTTTGGTCAACAGGCAGACTTAGGTGTTCCTGAATGAATAACTGCTATTTTTCAGGCCTCCTGGTTTGTCCCTAGAACAATACTCCTGCAGGTTTGTGGCTGCTTCTGCTGACCAGCCTGGATGTTGGCACTGTGGGGAAGGTGTCACTGAATTCACCAACTTCATACAAGGATTTCTTTTTTCTTACCTGATAACTATTTTTTTTTCTGGTGCTTTCATTGTGATTATGTGACAGTGATGACCTGAAACAGCATCTGAGTGCTTCTACAATGTTGTGATTTTTCTTCCTGGAAAGACATCTAAGACACTTGGTTCTTGGGTTAGTGAGAATTAAGAAAACAAAATACAGGAAAAAAACAAAACAAAACAAAAAACCTCATGGTGGTGCCCACTCTTCCTGCACATTGTCAGACTGCAACGCTATAGATTTTGTGGGTCTTTGCTCTAATAAAAACTTATTTTTTTTCTTTTCTGTTTTTTTCTTATGTGAAGGTACTCTATGTTGATTAAGTTCTTTCTGTTAAATATCGTTTGCTTGCACTGGATTTTTCTTTGTGTTGATTTTTTGCTTCATTTTTTTTTTTTTTCTTCATTTCCCACGCTGTTCAGTTACTGGAAGCCAGAAGAACAAAGGTTTGTTTACTCTTTGCAGCTTGTTTGTTTTGTTCTGCATAGCCACACCTCCTTGTGTGTTTGGGTGTGTTTGTCTTGTCTGCATTTGTTCCCTTTTGCTTGCAGAGGCAGTAATCCTGTTTACTAAACCTGTTCACAACTTTATTTGTAAAAAATAAAGTCCTTGTTTGTGTCTACTTGTAGTGGATGCTATTACTTTTATTTTTAAATGGACATGCACTTTTCATGTAAAATAATGGATTGAGTAGAATAAAGAACATCTTAGGAAACAAGGAATACTGAGTCTGGAGCGTTGTGGGCATAAAGAAGGTGTGTTTGTGCAAGTTTCCCTCTAACCCTTTCACTTCCTAAAAAAAACGGTAGATGTATAATTTCCCTTGTGATTGACACTAATATACTGTTCCTGTGTATGTGTACATTTCTCTTCTCCTAAGACATTCAGAAAGCATCACTGAATTAATTCCCCCTTCCATGTGCTATACCATGCTTCTGAAGTCGCCGTGGAGGAGTTCACGGCTGGCCTCCTGGACCTCATGATAACATTCCATCCTCATGGTGTGAAAGCAACAAGTGGCAGTTGGCATTCACATTGACTTTCTTCTTTCTGTCTCCTCTCCTGCCCCATCTTTTTCACTGCAGCACCTGCAGCTGACAATCCAAGCCCTTCAGGATGAGCTGCGAACCCAGAGAGACCTCAACCACCTCCTGCAGCAAGAGAGTGGCAACCGCGGGGCTGAGCACTTCACCATTGAGCTGACTGAAGAGAACTTCAGGAGACTCCAGGCTGAGCATGACAGGCAGGCCAAAGAGCTGTTCCTTTTGAGGAAGACATTAGAAGAGATGGAACTGAGAATTGAAACACAAAAACAGACCCTCAACGCTCGAGATGAGTCGATTAAAAAGCTCCTTGAGATGCTGCAAAGTAAAGGCTTACCATCCAAAAGCCTTGAGGATGACAATGAAAGGACACGTCGGATGGCAGAGGCTGAGTCTCAGGTCAGCCACTTGGAAGTCATTTTAGACCAGAAAGAGAAGGAAAATATTCATCTTAGAGAGGTAAGAACATTCGTCTAATTTTCCCAGGGTTGTTTTTTTTTTTTTTTGGTGGAACCGGGGATTGAACTCAGATCCTTGCATTTGCCAGTCAAGCTCTTATCCTATAAGCCATCTCCCCGGCCCCCCCAGGGTCTTATGTTACAAAGTGAAAAAAAAAAAATTATCAAGCTACCTTCAGAGATTGGAAGATAACTGCAGCCATAGCAAAATTCACTTTGTCATTTGCTTTTTTACCTTCCTTTCTTCTTTTGATTGTTGATGTAGAATTTTGCATTAGTTTTTTCTCTGCTCACCACATATATGTTCCATTATTATTTAACAAATATTCATGATCCAAGCATCTGCAGCACATGTCAACTCTGAGGTGTTTCCACTTACTTTTCCACAGGTGGCATGAGTTTTCATGGTTTTTAAAAAACGGTACTCTTTGAGTTTGGTTGTTTATTATATATCATCTCTCTAAAGGAACAAAAAAGGTAGGTGATTAGAAAGACAGTGAACTTAGAATTTTTGTAACAGAATTGGGTGGAGTTTACAGAAAGTAAAACATATGGGTGTTTCAGGAACAACTAATATAATGTGTGGACCAATTTTGAAAGTTTGGATTTAAGATAGTCTTTGTCTCCATTTATATTTGTCTCTCACAGAGTATTCCAGATTTTCTGAGGATGCATTTTGCCCTTAGTGGCTTAGATCATTTTAAGTCTATCAGAGGCAGTCTCTTTAGGTTGTTATCACCATTGAATGTTGGGATGCTCAGATATCTAAGAAAGAATATGTGACTGGGTAAAGCTTAGAAAAAGTGTGGATGACATCCAGGTTTTTAAAATGTTTTAATAGTTCCTTGCCACTGTAGTGGTTATGGATCTTAGAAGTATCATAGAAGAAAAAGTGCTTAGAGTAGACATAGATCACATAACAAATCACAAGCAGTAAAAAGGCATTAAATATCTTCTCAGAATGTTCTATAGCAATAAATAAAAATTCCAGAGCAGACTAGATTTCTTGGCAGTGAATACCTGTTCAAAAGGGTAGTTCTTCTTGTGAGTCACTTGTTTGGCTATCAGAAAGCATGGTTTCCATGCTAGAATTTGCTAAAATCCAGATGTTCCCAGTTTTCTCTGATGTAGACTATATTTACTTAGAACATTTAAGCAGAATTTTATGCCTTCAATCATAATGTCCTCTACCTAACATTGTATTCGTCCGTCTGTCTTTCTTTCTTTCTTTCTTTCTTTCTTTCTTTCTTTCTTTCTTTCTTTCTTTCTTTCTTTTGTATTTTACAGAAGGGTCTACAGGGTGTTGAGGGTCTTACTATTAGATCAGACTCATAGTGATCCACCTGTTTACAGCCTCCAAAGAGCTGGGATTATAGGCACGCGCCACCATGCCCAGTCTCAATTGCTGTCTCAGCATGCCCCAAGGGTGGGTCCAGCACGGCAGGCCCAGGGATCGACTCCCTGGCCCCTGCACCTGCTTGCAGGCACTTTAATCCGCTGAGCCATTTCCCCAGCCCCACATTTCATTTTTATGGGACTTTATCCACATGCTCTGGAAATTACATTGTGTGGTTTCATATTGACGTGCTTAAAGATAGATCTGGGTTAGGCTTGGTCTTCCTGTTGTATTCCAAGAGAATGGATGAGTGTGGTAGGGCTATTTGCAGCATGGTCCCCAATGATCTCTGCCTGTTGGGATTCACACCCTTGTTCATTCTTCCTCTCTTGACTATTGGTTATTCCTAGAGACTTGCCTCTGAGCAATAGAATATGGGAAAGATAATGGCATACCAGTGTCACTTCCATGATTAGATTACATAAGACTATTGTTACCATCTTGGAAGCAGATTCTGTTGCCTTCTTAGTGTGGTTGATGAAGCAAGCTGTTATGTGGAGAGCCCATATGGTAAGGAACTGAGAAAAGTCTCCAGCCAAAGTTCAATGAGAAATGGAGGTACTGGGTCTAACAGCCATAAAGCACTGAAAATTGCCAGCAGTCGTTTGTGTACTTGGAGTTGTTCCTTCTGCAGTCAAGGGATGGCAGTACCTGGGCTGACAACTTGATCGCAGCTTTGTGAGAGACCATGAAACAGAGGTCCCAGCTAAAGTGTGCCTGGATACATGAGCCACCAAAACTGTGAGATAGTGAATATGTGTTTTCAGCTGCTGATTTTGGGGGTGATATGTTGCATAGCAATAGATAACAAATACAGTAGAGCAGAAGTCACTCCTTTGCCCATATTACGCAGTAGATAGCTAGTTGACAGAAAGAGGAACAGTAATTACTGGCATTTATTAATTTTATGTAGACTGGATTTTGAAGTTTTACTTGTGTTACCTCAAATCTGTGGTTGGTAGAGGATCATTATAGTTGGAAAAACTGGCTGCTGTACTTTGGATGCCAAAGGATAACATTACATGTATACAAAGTGTTATGGTTTGGAGCTGAAATGTCCCTGAAGAGTCTCAAGTGTTTGAAGGTGAGTGGATCATGGGAGTGTTATTCTCATCAGTGAATATGACTTGGAAGTGTGTCCTCCCTTCTCTCTCTGCTTCCTGATTGCTATGACATGAACACTTTCATTTGTATCAGACCCTTGCACTATTTCCTTCTGTCCTTGGAGCCAGCCAACTATGAAATGAAAATATGAGCCAAAAAACACTTCCTCCTTTAATTTGTGGATGTTGAGTGTTGTGTTTTAGCAGTAAGGAAAGTGACCAAGGGCCAACCAAATAGCTCAGCTGATTTAAAGCGCCTGCAAGCAGGTGCAGAGGCTGGGGTTTCGATCCCTGGGCCTGTCGTGCTGGCCCCAACCCTGGGGCACACTGAGAAGGCAGCTGAGACTGGGCGTGGTGGCATGCACCTGTAATCCCAGCTCTTGGGAGGCTGTAAACAGGTGGATCACTACGAGTCTGATCTAGTAGTAAGATCCTCAACACCCTGTACATTCTTCCCTAAAAAAATAAAAATAAAACAAAAACAAAACAAAAAACAACCAAAGTAAACAAGATATATTTGGCACCAGATAAGTGGTATCGTTGCTGTGACAGCATGATCATATAGGTTAGAACCCTTTTAAACTGTTTGTGAGAGAAAATTGGAAAGTTTTGGGTATTTCAGCTGGAGAAGCAATCCTAGAAGGTTTTAAGCCGAGCTTGATTAGAGATTCTGGTCAGAGCTCTGAAGACCAGAACACTGATTAAAAGTAAAAAATAAAGTTTCAGGTGGGAACAAGGACTCTCAGTTGGCAATTCCACTGAAGACCCTGTGTGTTATACTCTGGAAAAAATTTCATTTACATTTTATTCTTGCCCTGAGACCTTGGGAGAGACTGAGATTATAGGTGACAGACTAATTAATCTGGCAAAAGAAATTTCAAGACAGCCTGACATTCAGTCTGTGGCATGACTACTATGTGCTGCTGTTACTGAGATTTACACTGAGAAATAGGAGCAAAACCTTAATTTAAAAAGCTTTCAGTTTTGCCAGTAAGAAGGGCCTATGAAATTTTGGCCCATGTCTTAGTTACTAACATGATTAGCATTAAAAATAAGTCAAATACTTTACATCAGGACAATAAAAAAGATGCCTTTGGGACATGTCAGAAATCAGCAAGACCCCAAGTTTCTTCTTCTCAAGAATGCAAAGATAAAAGCCTTTGAGAAGAGGGCCCCAGGGTCCTCTGCTTGAGAAGAGTGACCTTGGACATTGATTCCCTGGGATTTGTTCATGATGTTCAGCTCTCCAGGCACTTGGAGGCCTTTACAGCCATGATTCAAGAGGGGCAGGCTGCTGCTTGAGCTGACCACAGACTTTGGTGTCATCCATGTGGTGCTGGTTTTATAGGCATGTAGAATGCAAGAGCTATAGTGTCAGGGAAACTTCCAGTGAAAGAAGGTGTGGGAGGGCCAGCAGTGTGCCTCTAGAGGACAGTGTGTAACGATGGGAGAATGCAGCTGAGAGTGCCATGGAAACCCCGGGAAGTTGAGAAGCCAGGGACAGTGGTTGTATTCTGTGGAAGGCAGGGAGATAGTGAGCAAAGCCACACTGAGAGAGAGGTCATGGGGTCTTCAGCAGGTGGTACAGTAGAGGTGGGGCTGCCTAAACCATTTGGAATTCACAACTTGCCACAGCTTTTCCTGGGTGCCAGACACATTGCTACAAGATTTAAATTTGCTATTCTGGTTTGTTTCATTGTTTTTTATCCCTACTTTTTCCTTTTGGGATGGCACTGTTTATCTAGTGCTACTGTATGGTAGAAATGTTTAACTTTCTTTTCAGCTTTTATAGGGGCTCACAGCTAAGAGTTTGCTTCAAGTCTTAGAGGAGACTTTGGACTTGGACTTTTAAGCAGTGCTGGAATTATTAGGACCTTGGCAACTCCTAGAGATGGAGTAAATTAATTTTGCATACAGAGATATATATGAACCTTTTGGGGACCAGGGGTGTAATGTTATAGTTTAGAACTGAAATGTACCTTCAAACTCTCATGTGATTAGAGGTGATCAGATCACGGGGATGCTGTACTCATCAGTGGATTGGTCTGCCACTGGGTTAATAGATGATGTGCTGTTAAGAGGTGGAGCCTGGGTGGAGGAGACAGGTCACTGGGAGTGTGACCTGGAGGGGGTATATCTCCATCTCCAGCTCCTCCTTTCTCTTATTGCTTCCTTACTACTCTAACCTGAGCAGATAGTGTTCTTCCATGGCAAATCTTTCCACCATACCCTTTCTGCCTTGGAGCCAGTCTACTATGGACTGAAAATGGGACCTAAAATAAACTCTGCCTTTAATTTATGTGTGTTAGATATTGTGTCATAGTAACAAGGAAATTGAAAAGTACAGCAAGGTTGTGATGCCGGAGCACTATCTAGCACTCTATGTCAGGATGGAGTCAAGATGATATCATTCTTCTATTAGATTCTCCTCACTGAGAATAGCAGCTTCACAGTATTGTCTGGATGCCTCTATTTAAGTGAATTTATAGATAACTCACCTTG